CTCTTCTGTCCCAGAGTTCTCATGACAACACTTTTCCTCCAATTTTACAGGATACTGGTGCTTAACTACTTGGCGCGGACCGGGAAGGCCGGAGGCCTGGTCGCAGGATTGACCATGTCTGCGTGTTGGGATTCCTTTGAGACCGTTGACTCCTTGGAGACCCCACTCAACTCACTGCTCTTCAATCAGCCCCTCACTGCTGGACTCTGCCGGCTTGTGGCCAGGTAGGATAGCAGACGGCAGGCTTTGCCTGTGCTTGGGTCCGTTCCAATCTGGGCTTTCTTGAGGAGGTAAGAAGGTGTGAGCTCTGCGTTTAGGTGCAAGAGTCTAGACAAACCCTGATGTAATCTTTTCCAGGAACAGAAAGACAATTGAAAAGGTGTTGGATGTAGACTTTGCGATAAAGGTATCTTTCGGTCACCCCCTTACCCCAGTGTTGCTCTCCTACTTTCTAATACCTAAGCCTACCATGTCTCTACCACACAGGCCCGCACAATCCGCCAGCTGGATGAGCGGTACACAGCTGTGGCTTTTGGGTATAAAGACTGTGCAGCTTATTACCAAGCCTCAAGCCCAAGAACCAAGGTAGACGCCATCCACACCCCTGTCCTCTGCCTCAACGCAGCAGATGACCCCTTCTCCCCCTTCCATGGTGAGCGGCTGCTGAGCCAAGGATGCGGGTTGTACTGAGGTACAGCCTGGGTTCTCATTTGAGGGCCGCTTTCTGACCTCCCTGACTCCCTCCCAGCCTTCCCTCTGCAGGCTGCCCAGAAGTCTCCCTATGTGGCTCTGCTCATCACAGCTCGGGGTGGCCACATCGGCTTCCTGGAAGGGCTGCTGCCCTGGCAACACTGTTACATGAACCGTGTGCTACATCAGTATGCCCGAGCCATCTTCCAGCACTCCGTGGGGCTGCCTGACCTGGGAACACTCACTCCTGAAGATGGAAAGAGCTAACAAGAGGACTGCTGAGGTCTCGGTCCAATCTCTCTCTCTTTATTAAATATCAACTCTTCCTGCCTAACGAGCCAAAGTTCACTTTCCCTTTCCTCGGGCTGCAGTAGAGCATTCAGGAACTCACTGTGTATCTGCCCTGACTGGCGTGGTGCTACCCCGAGCCCACAGATCACTGCTACCTGTGTCTCTTCCTGCCTTAACAGCAAGTGCCAGCACAGACTTTGTCTCAACAAAGTGAGGACCTTGTGTGAAGGCTGGAAGGGGAGGAGAAAAAGTTTCTGTAAGAAGGATGGCCATGCCTCCAGGCTCTTGGGCATCTTCACATATTTCTAGAAAAGGAAGAGCTCAACTCTGGAGCCCTGGGAGGCAGAGGGAAGGAGGCAGGCAGTGTGGCCTGAACTTCAGACCACACTGTCCTAAGTGGATCCACAGGTGAAAGCAGGGCTCCCCAGACCCAGAGTGATGGGAAGGCCACCGGCAAGCTTTGGCTAAGGGACCAGCAGTACCCATCAGTCTCATCAGATGCAGCTTCAGCCGTTGGGCTCAATGATTCTGCTCTGGAAGGTGGCACTGTCCATGGCTGATTCCCATCGGTCAGGAGGTTAAAGAAAACCCGGGAAGGCACTCTGGAGCAGCAGGATGGTTACAATAATAAGGCCGACACACAGCACCAGCAGGAGCCATATAGGAACACTCCCTGTGGGCGGGGCGAGGGAAGGGGTGAGTGGGCAAATACACTTTGGAGCTTGAAAACCAGAACCCTTAACCACTTTCAATCAAGGAGGGGCAGGTGGATGAGTAAAACGGTCTATTTTCCCAGGGCCAATTTTCGCTATAGCTAAACATGAAGTGGTACCCTTCCCACCACACATACACACACACACACACACAAAACAACAACAACAATGACGACTCACGCCGTGAGGGCAGCAGGTGCAACTGACAACGACTATCCACAGCCACGGAGAAAAGAGCAGTTTCATGGGGCCCAAGAAGCTTTGGCCCACAACCCTTCTCAGGTAGAAAGGTCACATCTGTCACCACAATGCCATGGGCCTCCTTCACATAATACAGGCGCTGGGGGAGAGAGCAGTGAGGAAAGCCTGGTTGGAGGCTGCCTTCTGGGAAACAGGCTCCACAGTCCTAACAGGCTTCCCCTATGGCCTGGGCCTTCCTGTGTAATCAGGGCAGAGTAAGCTTGTAACCCTCCCATGGGGTTGTACCAACTGCTACCATTACCTGGAGAGAGAAAGCTATGTAGATGGCGACAGAGCCAGTGACCGTGCCTAGGCCTAGGAAGGTACCCGATTCACTGTAACATACAACAGAGGATTCATTGTTCTGGAAGCTTGTGCAGAATCCGTCTCCCCCCAACAGTAATCCTTAGAGACTGAGTCACGACTCCTTCCCGAGCTCCCTCAAGTGCCCACCAACTAACCAAGCAGTAGGACTTCACACCTGACACTGAGGCAGGAAATGACTTCATGGCCACAGGACCTGGTCTGGAGAGGCAAGAAGGTGGAACTGTCCCAGGCTGTGAGGTAGCAGGGTGGGGGCTGACGTAGGCGCTTGTGGGGTATCTGCACTGTGAAGAGTCGCAGCCCACCGGGCTGATCTGGAACCTGCCCAAACCTGGAGGACAGGCAAAAGGCTTTCAGTTCCTGTCAGCCCTCAGGTTTGTGCCCTTTACCCCAGTCACACCTGGAACAACCTCCAACAAGGCTCCAGCGATCCCCAGCTCCTTCTGTCTTTCCCAAGGCCCAGCTGAGGTGTGCCTGCCAGCCACCCTGTGACCTGCACACCTGCAGGCCTGGTAGCGGTACGGTGTGTTAGAAGAGGTGGGTCCATTCTCTTGCCACTGTAGCTGTGTCACCAGTTGATCCTTCTGCCACACAGAAGCCTTAAAGTCCCAGCCCACAGTAACCAACTGGAGCGGAGTAAAGATCCCAAAGATGGACAGTTAGGACATCAACAAACCGGGCAAGCGGCACAATAGGCTTCCCCTTTCTGCACCAGCATCCCACACCCCCACCTCCTTACCTTGCCATCAGGACCCAAAGCCAAATCTCCAATCTCCCCTTCATGGGCTTTGAACTCCAAAACTTTCTCCAGGCTAGGTACCTATAGCCAAGTCAGTACCACAGTTACAGACCAAAAGCGAGAACACTGTGATCCCCACTGCACCTACCCCAGTGGCCACTCATAAATTTCACAGAATGCATATTCAGATTCTCCCAATATTGTTGTGATTACAACTGACATTCATCCCCCTAAAACCTCACCTTCCAGACACGAACATGACCGTCGGTTCCTCCAGTGGCAAGCAGGGTGTTATCATGGTTGAAGCACACAACTTTCTGCAGCGGTTCATTGCTGAAGTCTGTCTGTACTGCCTCCAAATTCTTTACTCTGAGTTCAACCCCTTCTGGGTGAACTTCTGCTCCCGATTTCTTCTCTACTGGAGCAGCCCCCTTCCTCTGTCGAGGTCCCTGCTCCTTGGAACCTGCAACACAAACAATTTGCCAGAATCCAGACTTCTTTGTTGTTAAGACAGGGATTTGCTAGGTACTCCAGGCTAGCCTTAGATATCCTCTTGCCTCCACTCTTCAGCACTGAGACTCTAGGTATGCAGCACCACCCTCAGCTGGATCTGGGCATCTGTATTAATTAGGAGCAGTCCTACTGATCCGAGTACAAACTTCCGATGCTCCCCCCCACCCCACCCCCCATCTAATCTCTTTTTTAGAGACCAAGATTTAGGGGCTGGAGGGATGGCTCAGTAACTGCTCTCCCAGAGGTCCCGAGTTCAATTCCCAGCAACCATAGGGTGGCTCACAACCATCTGTAATGGGGTCTGATGCCCTCTTCTGGTGTGTCCGAAGAGAGCAATGGTGTACTCATATACATAAGTAAATAAATAAATCTTTAAAAAAAAAAAGAGAGAAAGAGAGAGAGCAAGATGTAGAGCGACTTTTTCCAAAGCTCCTCACCTGACTTCTCTGCTTTATTGCCCTTCTGTTGATGGACCTGGAAACGAAGAAGCTGACAATGGGCATCCTGTCCAGCAGCAAGGATGTCACCAGCAAGCGCCAAATTCATAGTGGCCCGTGTCTCTGTGTCATGAGAGTGCAGCAAGGAGGCGCTCAGGCACCCGTTGATCTGCTCTAGCTGCAGAAAATGCTGTGAGGGAACCAAAGTGGGCAAAGTTCAGGCCAGCCCGGAAGTCACATTAAGTCCTAGTCTCAGTTGCAACCTTTGCTTCCCGCACCTCCAGCTCATGTTTTTTGTTTGTTTTGTTTTCGTTTCTTTGGTTGTTGTTGCTGTTGCTTAGCGCTTTATTCTCTTACTGGAGCTTCCCAATTTGTACAGCAATCAGGGCTTAGATTACTAGGTCCAGTTTACAGAAAGAAAAGAATTCAGTCCCCAGCTGCTTGAAGACAGACAAGACAATCTGCCTTCCTGGAAAAGGCCAGAGTAAGAACCCCGGACCAGCTCCCATAACCCGGCGTGGGTAGACAGTCCAGCCTTCGCAGACCTGCATAGCTTTCAGTCTAATTTTGGATGTCTCAACCGCTCTACTCAGGTGAAACCAGTGCCCGAGCGGCAATGCGGGGTGTTCCCACTAGAAAGGGGCAGGGTCTAATGCAGGGGTACGGCTCACCTCTACGTCCCCCGGCCACCCCGGAATCGCCCTGGCCCATAACCTGTTCCCAGTGGCCCTGCGTTCTCACCACGCCATTCTTTATGCCTGTCTTGGCAGCTCCTCCTCCGCCCGCAGCGATGAGCAGCCCAGTCTTGGGGTCTATCCGAAGCGCGTACAACGGGAACGGGGCCCGGTAGAGCTCCAAACCCCGGCGCCGGCCCATCCCGCCCGCGAGTTCACTGCCAGCCCCGCGGAACCCACGACATGCCGCGCCCCGCCTCGGAAAGCTGCGGAACTTGGTGCTCTAGTTTCCCGGAAGACGGCCGACCCCTCTCAGCACTCTGGCCTTGCCACCACTCAAACCACCGCAGGTGGCCGATCTGCGCTCGCGCGACCGCCTGGGTCGCGCAGGCATTCACTGCGCACGCGCCGCGCTCCGGGCTCTCTCTACGCAGGCGCAGGACGCGAAACCGCGTCAGCACTAGCGGGACGCGCTGTCACGGAACCCTAGCCTCGGATCCGGTTCCTGACCTGGAATGACGGCGAAGCTGCCATATTTGTGAGGGGCGTGGGAGGTGGTGCTGGAAGACATACAGAAGATTAGTAAATCTAGAACTAAAAAGTTCTCGGACTGGGAAAGTCCCACCTTGAAGAGAGATACACAGACTCGTACAAGCGGGGCCTTTATGTGTTACTCCTGGGAGGAAGTGGTTTCCCCGGGTCACGGTGAGAACAAACACTCCAAAACAGATTCACTGCTTCCTAATATCCTAATGTGAAGAAACCATTACCCACTTAGAAAGCGCCCTCCGGGGCTGATTGGACTCCTTCTTATGGTTTGACGGTCCTCTTCTGGAACACAGAAGTTATCAGTGGCAGTTGATCCT